TCACGTAATTGTTGAATTCAAGAGGCGCAATGCATGAGTCTCCATCGTCATTGCATAAACATCTTCTCAGGACGTAAAGGTACTCACTCAGATGCTAGTTAACAAACAAAAGTAATATGTTATTAGAAAACGAAAGATATAAGCATTGTTTGTGTACGAAGAATGAAAGGTTAATGCAACTTACAGTATCTGCTACAAAAAAATCTGGAGTGATAAGGTCAGTCCAGAACGTTTTCACAAAATCCTGAATCTCCTTGTATTGGGCAAGGTAGCATTGTACAGGGCGGTCATCTTTAATTGCTTTTACGATGAAACTCTTAAATTGCAAAAGATCTGCTTTAGTTGGCGGCTTAGATAAGAGCTCATCGGCTTTCTTTTTCTTCCTCCCGTCCGCTGTATAAGGAGACTTCAAACTGGCTGACTTCTTTTTCACTCTCTAAAATAAAAAAATAAGTGAATTATTTCGGAATCTTAGACCACAATAAAAAAGCACTTGAAGTAAGAAACCAAACCTTTCCATACACAATTCCATCAGTAATTTCAGCCTCTTCTCCCAATTCCTTCGGGGGAGAAACAACCTACAGTTAAATAGAGTGTAAATAAACATGATCTAAATACTTCGAAGAACAAGACTGCATTTCGAATGCAAAGAATCCAGAATTTACCATGTCCTGCTGAGTTTTCATAGAAGCAGCATCGTGTGTTTCCATGACCTCATGGCTAGGCTCAACCTACAGAGAATTCGAATACATTTGAAAACTTAGACTGCATTTCGAAGGCACTTTTAGGAAGATTTTTAATTTTACCATTTCCTGCAGAGGCTGCAGAGGTTTCATAGAAGCAGCAGCAGCGTCTGTTTCCATGACCTCATGGCTAGGCTCAACCTACAGAGAATTCGAATACATTTGAAAACTTAGACTGCATTTTGAAGGCACTTGTAGGAAAATTTTTAATTTTACCATTTCTTGCAGAGGCTTCATTGAGGTAGCATCTTCTGTTCCCATTGTCTCGTGGGTAGACTCAGCCTGCAGACAAGAACAAAAAATATGAATGTATTTTCGGAAGGCAAATGCATTGTAAGTTAAGATTAGAAATTACCTTCCTGTTCTCCAAACTAAGAACAGAATCAGAAAGAGTTGAAGGTTGATTCTGGTGGTCTTGTTTAATTTCCCCAACAATTTGGAGAATACCAAGTCTTGGAGAAACCTATAGAGTATGAAGTATGAAAATGATGAGAAAGAAGAATGAAATGATATTATTATTTCATTTAACATATGCAAACAAATGAAATAACTCTATTAAACCCCAAACCTTATGGTCAGGGGAAGGATTTCGTGCCTCAGTCTCCTCACAATCACCCATGATTTTCGTCTCTGGCACCTGAACGTTAACAGATCTTACAAATGTAAAACTGAACAAAACGTTTCGACTACATTCGAGGTATTCGACTATACTTCGACGTACCTCCTGCTGATTCTTGGTTGGTTCTTCTCCTGATTCAGTTACATCCACCTTCATATTTTTACATAAGAATAGATCAGTTCTGATCAATTAAAATTATTGGATGACTTTCAAAAGCTTTCATCATACCTTATTCACAATCTTTTGATTTATTAAAGTTGACAAAGCATCAACTTTTTTTTCAAGCACTTCAAACCTCTTTCTTTGTTCTTCTGCAATGTTATCAATTTTCTTTGACATTCGATCAAAGAGTTCTTGAAAGGTATTGGATGAAGGCTTGGCGGGGTGAGGGTTAGGAGACGATGGATTTGGGATGTTGGAATGGGAGACTCTAGAAGGAGATTCCCTAAGGCTCTGACTCCTCTGAGATTCTTGGGGAGAGGAGATGTGCTCATTACGCTCTTCAGAATTATCTCTTGTTGGTGAAGGGACATTCCGGGCTTTTCTCTTCCTCTCCACCGGAATGTGGACTTCCCCTCTACACTCTAATTTTGCCACAAATGCATCCAACTCGGGGTGTTTTGTGGTCTCTAGAGGCTGGAAGTTCAAATACCACTCTGCAGTTGCCTCAAACTTGTCGGGAACAAGAATGCTCTTTAGAGACTGCAACCAAAACAATGACACTTTATTTTTGGAATTCATTAAATTTTAATCTTTTATTGACCAATAATATGTATATACCTGCACGTCCTCAACGTAAGCATCCATTTCTGTGTGGGTGATTTTCTTCTTTATTGGAATCTCACCCCAAAGGCAGATTCTTGGCCTAGCTGGGGATGTCTGTGGACTTCTTGTTGTAATATTTGCTCCAGTCCCCAAGCAACTCTCCAGAAAAAGGATCTTTTCATATGAAAAATTTCAATAAGATCACATTTCAATAAAAATTATAAGAAATATTATAATTGAAAAAATCCTTACCCCAATGGGAAGCAAGAAACTAGTATAGTACATGGTTGATGAGGCCCCTCTTCCAATTGATTTGGCCTTAGCAGCTAGGTCTTTCCTCAGTGACCCCAAGGACTCCATAAATGCCCAAGTTCCCCATGGGAAACCTAGAACTGCTGTCCACTGTGCAATCATGCCCAGAATCCAATCTGGAATTGCAGATTTGTCTCGATCAGCAGGACCCAAGAGAACAACAACAACAACAAACAAAAGTGCTGCCATTTTCACAGCAACCATCTCCTGGCCTTCTTTCTTCTTTTCCATGTCCAGTCCTTTACAAATTTCCAAGAAACGCTTCACAACCATCTTGTATGTGACTGCAGCGGATTTCTTTCCCTTCTTTGCTGAAGGAAAGTGAGCACGAATGAAATCATTCTTTGCAGAGGTTAATTCCTTGGAATTTTCAAAGCCGGCGTTAAGGGGAGAGCAGTTGATGCCGCTAATGAGTGAAAACTCCCTCAAGGAGTACCTGACAGGAACTCCTTTGAAAACGAACCACATCTCTCCTTTCCTCTTTATTTTGGCTTCCCTCGCAATGAGTTGCCATAGGAACAGAGGAGGAGGAATACACTCAACATCCAAAAAATGAGAAAAAGGGGTGGAAGTCCTAAACAAATGAAGAACTTCTGGATGATCACCAAGTCCTTCTTCCATCAGATTCTGGAACTCCCCCAAAGAAGATTTCAGGGTTAACTTCATTCCAGGTATTTTATCAATATCAATGGTGCAATCCAACGCTGGAACCTAGAATTAAAATCAAGAACTAATCAAAAATAGATTCGACTGCATTCGACTGTAACCAATTACTGTAACATTATTTTGATTATTTCCATGGTCGAATAACTTGTTCTGTGTCCGAATGTTTCAAAAAAACAAACAAAATACTTTAAATGTTATATTTTAGTGTACATGCAATGCACCTCAATTTCCGCAGCATCCAGGAACGATTGACCATCCACAGATGGAGTTACCTCAGCAGAAATCTGACACCAATCCCAAATATTTCAACAGGTAAACAATACCTGGTTTACCATTGCGAGGTAAAATCTGACACCAATCCCAAATATTTCAAATAAGTAAGAATTATTTGAAAATACCTGGTTTTCATTCTCCATCTCCTCCCTTTGTGTTTGGGTTAGAATTCTTCTTCTCTTGTACTGGAACCCGCTACTTGCTCCAATGTTCTCCATGGCAAAGAGATGTGTGGTAGTTCTTGAAGGTATCCGACGACGGTAAGCAATGTAGAACGAAGAGCAGAAGAGTTTCGATTGATGAAGGCGTATCGTTTCCGAAGCCTGGTCGGGGGATTAAGGAGGGGTTGGCGCTTCAAACGACGTCGTTTGACCTTTCTAAAAATCATCTTGACGCTTCGAAGGCAACCTAACGGCTCGTCGTTAATTTTAATATTTCCGTTTAATTTATGAAGTAACGGGAATAAACAGTGACGTTTTGTTGACGTTTTGTTTCTTGGTTGGAAGGGCCTTTCTGTCATTTCCCCTCATTTTACGCAAGTAGAGAGGACGCGCCTCACGCGAATCTCTGTTAGATCTAGGAGGGCATTCTCATAAATTCCAACCTTTTTCAGCCCTTTTCCATAAATTCTTCCTCTAGCCCAATCCATACACATCCGTATTAGAGACCAAAAAAAAGAAGAAAAGCTAAAGTGAAGCACCGATCGAAGCAGAAACGTCAAGAAAGGACCGGACCTGTACGGCTCCACCCTCCCCCTCTCCCGCCGGACCTGCACGGCTCCATTCGCCGCCTCTCCCGCCGGACCTGCACGGCTCCACCCTCCAAGTAATTATTCATAGCCTTCCCTTTCCAATTTTGTAATTTTTATTTCTTAAATCTTAATTTTCTTTCATTGTTTCATTTTTTAGAGTCAAAATTTATGCTTAATTCTTAGTTTTTAATTTGAAATCTTTTTTAATTTCATTCTTTGAAATAGAATGAATGAATGGTTCTATATGTAGTTTATTTGATTTGATGAACTGATTTGAATCTGTTATTTATGATAATTATATATTTATATTAAAAAATTGAAAACCGAAAAATAAAATTAAAAACTGATAAATTGATGAATTGATATGAATTTATGATTTATAAAAAAATTAAAACTGAAAAAGAAAACAATTAAAAAAAATTGACGAATCGATATTAATTTATGATATATTTATTTATTTATTTGCTTGCTTTTTTCAGTTTTTTATTCTTGATTTTACTTAGTAGAACTTATGGATTTGGATTTTATTTCAGAAATAATTCAATAGCTATTTTGTCATTTATTTTTTTATTCTAATAATATTGCGTTAATTATAATTTATTTAAATATAATTAATTTACATATGTAATTTTTTAAACCATTAATGATAAGACTCTTAGGGCCTTTTTTCTGCTTCGGCCCAGGCTGATGAATCCTCAGGACCGGCCCTGATTTTGTTGTCAACATACAATCATAAATAAATAAATAAAAGGTGCACACTGCACCTACACACTTAGACGTACATGCCATCGAATTGGAACAACCAAGTTATCAAGCCTTGTTGGAGGAGCTCATCATTAAGCTTGATACAAATTCATCAATGGCTCTATCAGAAGTTCCACCCTCACTCACAGCCTCCTTAGCAAGCTCACTCCATTTCCCTGCATTTTCCTTCATTTCCTTCCCTTCCTCCGCGTCCAACACCTCCCTAACGCACCTCTCCACTTCCTCCCTACCCACCACCCCATTCTCCCCAACCCCAACCCGCAGACCGACCTTCCACACGTCCACTATCAGCTTCGCGTTCATTGTCTGGTCGGTCCACTGCGGCATCGCCACCATCGGCACCCCGAGGCTCAGCGCCTCGAGGGTCGAGTTCCACCCGCCGTGGGTGAAGAAACACCCCACGGCTCTGTGGGACAGGACCTGAAGCTGTGGGCTCCAGGTCACAACTATACCCTTACTAGGGGTTTCGACGAAGCCACTCGGGAGCTTGGAGGTTTCCGAGTGCCTCACGACCCATAGGAAGGGAGCGTTTGTGTTGTGCAAGCCCCACGCGAGTTCCTCCATCTGGTTCCGGTCTAGGGCCGCCATGCTCCCGAATGATACGTAGACAACTGAGCCGGCCGGTTTTGTGTTGAGCCACTCGATAATGCTTGTTGATTGGTCCAACGGGTAGAGGCTTAGCCCGTATTCGGTGTCGTTGTGGACCCGGTTGTCTAAGTAGAGAGATGGAATCGTCGGCCCAATTGTTAGAAATGGACTCATTTTTGACATCATATCCACTACCTGCAATATATTTTCGAATCAGTTTTCTTTAATACTCCGTATTGAATTTCCGTGCTCCATGCAATATATTTCCTCCATTCCAAGTTAATTAATTAAGTTGTTTGTTTACTTCCTCCGTCCCAAAAAGATGTACTCGTTTCATTTTTTACGCATCCTATAAAGCGCTTTTATCTCATCTCAAATGCCAAAAAAACTTTTAGAGCAACTTCTTCTACCCATATTAAAGAGTAAATGTTTTAAATTTTAGGCATTTTAGGTGTGCGTAGAAGTGTTTTATGAGATGCACAAAAAATAAAATAGACACATCTTTTTGGGACGGAGGGAGTATTATTTATAAGGTCAAATTTTATTCATTTGTTTTTCTAGTTTTATTTGTTATTTGATTAAATAATATATTCATGTCACCACTAATTTTTTAGATCTTTTGATATAATTTTTAAATATGCAACTTTTATTATTTAATTCTACATCATTTTTCAAATAAAATAATTTGAAAATAACTTGAATCGAACATTGTAAACGAAATAGGTAATTTAAATTGGACGAAGGAAGCATTATCAAAATATTACATTGGAAATCATAAAGGTGTACCTTTAAAATGAGTATTTTTGATGTTATTTTCTAATTATGACTCATCTATCCTACACATATCATTCTACCTATTATAAACTAAAAGCAAAATTAGAAAATAATACCAAAATTACTCATTTTAAGGATGCGCCTTTTTTTTAAAAAGGAAGGGTTTTATGGAACGGATGGAGTAATAAATAAAAAAAATTAAAATGATATAGTGTGAAAAATAAATTGCTTTTTAAAAGAATTAAATAAGGATGACTTAAACAAAAAAATTACAATAACCAAAAATAAAAATCATCTATTTTATTGCGTTCACGATTAGCGTTATTATTTTGGATAAAGTTTTAACGATGTACGGAGTATATTAATTTTCAAAATACTACTTCCTCCATCCTAAAACGTTCTTCCCAATCACTATTCATATGGTCAAATTTTAATCACTTTCTTTACCTATTTTCGTTAGCTACTTGATAAAATAATATAATCTTGTCACCTATTATTTTGCAGAATTTTTGATGTTGTTTTTAAATATATAAATTTTATTTTTTAGTTTTACACTTTAATCAAATAAATTGAATTAAAAATAAATTACTCAAACCTCCTAAACAGAAATAGAAAAAACGTTATAAGAGGGAGGAAATAACACCCAACTCTAATGTTGATGCCAAAGAAGTCAAACATCAAGCTGGTCTAGACATTAATAACGAACATGGAGAAATCTTTTGACGGTGAGAGGGTGTATCATCTCTACTAATTTCTTTTGCATCTAACTTTTTACCGCCTCCAGATCCGGTATGTACCACTTTGTCCATTAATATTTAAATATATATATATATTCCGTATATAATACTTCCTCCGTCTCCCATAGATCTTCTCAATAACTCTTTTTCTTTGTTCACAATAAATCTTCTCATTTCATTTTTTAACAATTAAAATACCACAACTACCCCTACTTACTTTATTTATTACACTTCACCCACCTCATTTAATACACTCCACCAATTTTTATTAAGGGTACTATGGTAAACTTTCACCTTTTTCCGTTAGGCGGGGCAAGAGGTACGAAGTTCGAACTCTCCTTAAAAATCACCAAAAGTCAAAATGAGAACATCTTAAAGCATCTCCAATCATATTTGTTATATTGGCTTTCTATTGTTTTATTTTAACAAGTGAATAGTAATATACTCCGTAGAAAATTATTTTTTGTCTCATTCTCCAATCATAACTTGCTACATTTTAAGTTTAAGAGGAGAAAGATTGAAGGAGAGACGTAGATGCTCTATCGTGCAAACTTCAACGGAGATGCTTAATTTCAAAGTAGAGAAAGGGCTTGCTATAATTTGATTGCCTTGCTAGATTTAGCAAGCCAAATTCAATTTTTGACAAGCATGTTAAAATATAGCACACCCCTTGGAGAGAAGAAAAAGGGAGTGATTTGATATATTATACTCCCTCCGTCCCACAAAAAAGTTCCCATTTTGAATAGTATTTAATCAAATATTTACACGCTTTGACTACAAATTGTGAGAAATGTTTATTTAATTATGAAATAAATTTTATATAATTGGATTCATCTTAGGATCTAGTTTAGATATCTCAAATTTTTTTAGCATTTTTTATTTAGATTATATTTAATTTAAAGTCAAAGTGTGCAACAGTTTGACCAATTTATGGTCAAAATGAGAACTTTTTTGTGGGACGGAGGGAGTAGCTTTTAGCAAGTCTAAATGACATGATTGGAGATGCTCTTAGGGGCGGAGGGAGTATAAAATATAAAAGTGTTATATCTCAAAATCGTATTTTGAAATACATTTATTTATATTAAATTTATATTATAATTAAATAATACTCCCTATATTTTTCTATAATTTATAGTTAAAATTTGAAAATTTTGAACAAAAAAACCAACCTCGCTAAAAAAAATAAGTGTACCCCAATTTGTACCCTGCAGTTTTGCACCGACACTTTGTGTTGGTGTAAAACTAATTTTTGTTAAATGCACCAACATTTGTGTCCGTGTGAATTTTTATTAACGCATCAACATTTGTGTCGGTGTAAACCATCGAAATGTTTGTGCAAACCTATGGGGTACAAATGGGGTATATTTTTTGGTATAAGTGTAGCATGGTCCAAAAAATAATTACTCGGTATTTTGCATTACCTCTGCCTCCAGCTTATAGAAAGAGTTAACGAAAACGAAATCAGCCTTGTCCACATTCCGGAACTGCTGCAAAACCATCTCGAAATAAGCGGGATAAGACCCGTGGTGGTAAATGAACGACGGCATGTCCTGCAGATCCAGCGGCGGCAGCCCCGGAATGTTCACCGGCGGCGCGGCCACCGGCAGCTCCAGCCTCCCACTGTGCACGCAATACAGCACGTAATTAACCCCACACGCCTGGGTGAAAAAGGCAGCCGCCGAAACGCCGCCGCCGTACTTCTTGGCCACCTCCAAAGCCCACGGGAGGAACGCGTCGTAGACGACGCAGGCGACCGGAGACCCGGACTTTTCGTACTTGTGGAGGAGCTCGGCGAGGCTCCTCGACCCGGCGGCCTCCAGGCGGCTCAGGTAGTCGGAGACGCTGGCCGCCTGGGCGAAGCCGGACTCGTCGCAGCCGTCGGAAAACGTGTCGATTCCGACGGGGCCGCCGGAGAGGGGGGCCGTGGAGGAATTGGAGTGGAAGGTGGTGATGGCGAGGGTGGCCTTCAGGCCTTTGGAGACGAGGCGCTTGCAGAATTGGAGCATGGGGTTTATGTGTCCTTGGGATGGGTATGGTATGGCCAGAACATGAGCTCCGCCGCCGCCGCCGCTGCCGCTTGCGCTCTTTTCGCTCCCCATTCTCCTATCTTAATAAAGTGCTCCAAGGAGTGAGTAGTGTGTTTTGGAAATGTTTTTCAGGAAGTTCTGTGAGACTGTGACCGAAACCGAATGAGCGCACTTGTCTTATACTCACACCACAAATAATTGGCGTCTTCAAGGGGCTGCGGCTCTTGCATGTTCCAAAGGACAAAGCCCCTAGCTCTATTAAAAATTCACTTGAATTTTTAATTTTCGACATTTATGTATATTACGAGTAATTTTCTTGAAATATCCTGTCTCTTCTGTCTTGTTTAGCGCGACTAAGGGCATGTTCTTTAGGACTGTAAAAAATTGGAAAAAACTGGAAAAAATTGGAAGGAACTTGAAGAAACTGGAAGGAACTGGAAGAAACTGGAAAACCTAAAAAAAACTTTAAAAATATTTATTTCAAATTCTTGTTGTTATAAATTATTTTTATTATTATTATTATTATTATTATTATTATTATTATTATTATAAGTGTCAATCGTAAAAATAGTGAGATGAAAAAAATAATTTATAAACTACACTTATGAATATAACAGTTATAATAATAATAATAATAATAATAATAACAACATTGAAATATATCATTTTTTGAGTAATTGGTTGAGGAGTAGAAAGAATTTGAAGAAAATGAAAAAAGTTGGAAGAAACTGGAAGGAACTGGAAGAAACTGGAAGAAACTGGAAGGAACTGGAAGAAACGGGAAGGAACTAGAAAAAACTGGAAAAAACTGGAAGAAACTGGAAGGAACTGGAAGAAACTGGAAGTTAAGAGTTCAAGCCCTAAAGAACAGGCCCTAAGTGTGATTGGTTTTGCGTGAATAAATGCAAAGTTTGAGATAAATGACGCGACTGCATGTTAATCCTTCCCCGCTTCTATAAATCCCGGCGAAGCTTTGGTCGAGAAACATATAGTTCAAAAATTCATATTATATCATACCAGTTCTTGTCAAAAATTTGAGTTTTATCCGATTGAATTTTGATTCAACACTCAAAATAATTAATCATGAAAGTGTTATACATGACTCTCAATTTGATATGTGTTATCTTAGTTATCCCCAACATGATATAGGCAAGTCCCTCATTACTTCAAAGTGTGTAATGTATGAGGCTGCACCAAATTTTTGTTAAGTTTGTCAGACAATTGAGGGTATTTTGATTATTCGAATCTAGGTGCGGTCGATAATTATTAAAAAAAGATTAGAATATCGGTAATTTCGATGTTTGTGATCCATGATAGATATCTTTAAAAAAATACTCCGTAATTAAGTAATAGAGGAGAAGAAGAGATTTGTAAAGAAACAAAGGTGAAGAGAAGAAAAAAGTTGTGTGAGTTCGTAATTGAGTACATGTGTACATTACTATACTTTTTGGTGATATAATGTACATGACCAAGTAATGTAAATGTATTTTAAGTCCTATTTCGAGAATAAAAAATGAGAGTCCTATTTTAGTATATTTTCAATGTTTTAGTCCTACTTTGTTCTTTTTCTCTATTAAATTAGAGACCACGGGAATTCAAATGTGAAGAGGGTATGATGAATTTACACTTTTAATGGGAAAATCAAATTGGTTATTGTAAAAAATGAAAAATTAGCCACATTCATAATATTTATTTAAATGCCACTGCACGTTAATTAGATCATATTCCCTCCGTTTCAAACGGTAAGTAACAATTATTATTTCGGTCTCTCAATAAATTTTGTTTATTCGTTTTGGTTGATCATTTGATAAAATAAAATATTCTTGTCACATCTTGTTTTATAGAAATTTTGATCTATTTCTAAGCGGTGTAATTGTTAGTTTTTATTTCTCTACCAATTTATAAATAAAATAATTTTAAAAAATATGATATTTTATACATCGTTTAAAATGTGGCTTACAAACAATAATTTTTTTCTTCCCCTTCAATTCCCCTTCCAGAGAAATGCCTTCCCTTTTCCCCTTCAGTTTTTACTTTATTTTTGTTTAAATAACTAAACTAAAAAGATACAAACAATAATAATTTTGAATACCAAAACTAAAGCATTGATAAGTCTGTTTTGTATGCATTTATCTTTTCTTTATTTAATGTGTTATTGTCTAATTTTGGATCAAACAAAACAATTTCACATTTGTTTTTATAAGTTTTTTTTCACAATTATAAAGTGCACAAAAATTATGTCTTGTTGTAAAAAGAATAACAATTGAATAAAAGTGATGCAAAAATAAATAATTTCAGATATAGAGCATATCATATAGGTGGAAATAAATTCATATCCGAATTTGAAGTTGCCACAGAATGAAAAGTTGTTTAGAACGAAAAATCAAGCAGAAACAGTGCAAAAAGGGGAGAACGGCCGACGGCCACCAACCCCCAACTACCGTCGTCGAAGGACGGCCGGCTGGGTGAAGGACGATCGTCTAGCAAGGGAGGACGCCCGTCCTTTGTCTATTTGAAAGCCGGCAATGAAGGACGTTGCGACAGCCGTCACTCCCAAGGACGACCCGTCCTCTAGTCGACCGCCAGCCCAAGCTTGTCTATTTAAACGCTCTCGTTCACCTTCAGCATAGTCCTCCTCCCATAGTCCTCCTCCGGGTCTTCTACGCCCCGGAGCCTATCCCACCTCCCCTTTTCCCTTGTTGTGTAGCATCCACTGGTTCGACGTTCTGAAGAACATCATTAAATTCGGATCTTATTTGCATAGGAGTAATCAAACTAAAAATTAGTATAGAAATAAAAAAAATATAACTTATGTATTTAGAAAAAATATTTAAAATTTCAAAAAATAATTAGTAACAAATGTATTTTATTTTAGCACATGATGATTAAAGAATTACACGCAAACAAAAATTATCAAAAGACTGAAATTATATAAATAAAAATATATTTTGGGAGGGAGTATAAATAAACCATGCCCCTTCAAAAACAACATAATGGAAAACCCAACCTATTGAGCTTATAAAGCTTGAAAACAACCTAAATAGAAAACCCAATGCATTCAACTTATAAAAGGTTAATTCCATCAAGGTGCATTCTCAATTACAAAAATGATGGGAAAATTAATGGTTTAGATAAATAAAAATGTGAAGTGATAGTAAAATGTTTTCTAAAATATTCCTACACCCGACTCATACACCAAACCCATCATAGAACATGGAACAGAACTGTGTGCACTACATCTTTACATTTATGGTACGGAGAAAGCATGTGACTGAAGAGTAGTTCAGAAAAAGAAGATGACCCGTTTGAAAAAAGCCTTTTAGTTCAGAAAAAGAAGATGATGCATTTGAAAAAAGGTACTCTCTCCGTTCCAATTTATTTGCAACACTTCGAACGACGTGTAAAATATCATCTCTTTTAAAATTACTTTGATTTCAAATTGGTAGAGTAATAAAAAGTAAAAATTACACCATTTAAAAGTATATGAAAAGCTCTACAAAACAAGATAAGACAAGAATATTTTATTTTATCAAATAGTCAACCAAAACGAGTAAACAAACAAAAGTTATCGAGAGGCCAGAATAGTAAATGTGGCACTCTTTCTGGGACGGAGGGAGTAGAAGGTTTACCCTGCGAGCCCCACACTCCGCCCCGACCGTATTGTGAGAGGTTAAATCATGGTATAATCTCAATCTGGTCTTTAGAGAGGTCATCCTGTATCCGGTGCGCACAATGAACTATTACAAATAGTACAACTTCCACACTGCAACCGTCAAAATTTGACTCTTGAATCAACGGGTTTGACATCATCTTTTTGGACCAATTGAGCGGGCGAGATGACCCATTTGAAGGAAAATGGTATTCCGATCTCTTCTTCAAATCAATCTTTCCATTGATATTTTTATGAGATTTAAAATAAAATGTATTATTGATATTTTCTTTGAAAGAAGAAAAATAAAATTGAAATACTAAACCCTTACTTTAAAAAGAGTGTGAAACTTAAGTCAAATAGTTCTAGTGTTTCCTTTTATTCGGAAAATATGTATAAATATTCCTAGCTTTTAAACCACAAGGTCATCGGAGCCCAATATCTTATTTTCTTTCATTTTTAAATTTTTTAAAAAATTGATCTTATTAATTTTTTCAAAAATCAATGTTTTCTTGTATTTGAAATGGAAAAATTAACATATACTTCGTCGATGTGACTAAAGCATTTTCATTTTTTGTTTTGTAAAATAAAAAGAAAAACTTTTTTGAGGCGTTTAAAATATGAAATGAGGAATAGAAAATAAAATTAAATTAAATTAAATAAAAGAAAAAATGAATAGAAAAAGAAAATGAAAAAAGTAAATGATATAAAAATACTTTTATAGAAAAAGAAAAACTTAGGCATGTCGGTCCAAAAAACATATGATTATTCACTTTTGTCTTCCGGATACAATGTTATCTAAGCCTCCTTTTGGTACACAGAATTCAAACTGTGTTGGATTTGGAGGTAATAATTCCAATTTTGATCTTTGGTAGCATAAAAATATGTAGATTTGGAATTGGTAGTGCCAAGAATGAATTGAAATTGGAGAACTCAATTCCATCTAAATCAATTCTATGGAATTTCAACTTTCAATTTAGTTCCAATTCCATCAATTCTGTGTACCAAACGGACCCTAAAAGAATTTAAATTTTTAGACGTCTCCGAAAATTTCAAAAAAAGAGTCTTATTTGCCAACTTCATGACTACTTTTGACTTTTCAATAAGTGTGTTTTTTATTTGTTTTAATTCTTTTTTTCATTTGTTTCTCTTTTATTTTATTTTATTTTATTTTCTTTTTCTATTTTAATTTCCTTTTCATTTTGGAAAACAAAAAAAGTGAGATTTTTTTACTCTAGAGAGATGAAAAAATGGTAATTTGTGTTTATTTTTTAATCTTTTTATTTCAAACATAATTAATTTTAAATTTTAAAACATTATAAAGAATAATTTCAAAAAATAAATTAAAAATGAAAAAATAGGATAATGGGCTTTGATACCCATCACCCATGTGGTTTAAAAAAATAAGCACCCGATATCTCTTACGTGGAAATTAAAAGTGAACAAAAAATAGTCCAAAAGATGAATATGCAATATTCTGCACATCATAAAGATTTTAGAAATAAATTTTAGAAATAATAGAATATTTTTATCTATTGTTTAAACTACGAGGCACTCACTCTTTGGCGATGAAACTTGCTCCGTATCTTGAGACAAAGAGAGTAATGTGTAAAACCAATT